TTCCCTATATAAAGACTTGATATCGCCCTCCTAATGTACAACGAAAAGCAGAAATGGCACCAACGACCTGTTGGTTCCGATTCTCATAAATGGAGAAACAAGCACTGAGAGAGTTCCTCTTAATGGTTACCAGATGCTGGGAGATTAGTACAAAAAAAAAAAAGGCATCTTCTACCAGTAAAACTTTCTTCCTCTTGATTTCTCTTATGATTTTCTTGCATGCTATAGGATCTTTTCCGCGCACAGCTTTTGCCGATCGTAAAGACATAGAGCCACTTGTTGATGCAGCAAAGCTTCAAGACCTCCTTCACTGTGACCTTCTCACAAAGCTAACCTACAAAGCCCCGAGGGTGGTTCTCAAGGTAGACACTCCAATACTTAAGTTAGCAATAGTCTGATTTACACTCTTAATAAGAATCTTGAAAGAGTTCTTCTTCTGATTTTCTTTTATCATACCTCCTTGGAGCCATGCGTGGACATATTTGTATATCTTGATCGGGCATCCACGTGGCTTTCTTAATCATAATAATCGTGACATTATGTGTTTGACGGGGCAAGTGTCTTTGGCGGATGTAATATGTCTTAACGAAACAACTGCATTAAATGAGTATGGCATATTTTGACGGAGTAGGTCTCTCATAGACGGAAGATTAGGTGAGGATTGATGATCAAGTGCAAGTGTCCTCATCGTAATCATCATAATCGTGACATGATGTGTCTGACGGGACATGTGTCTTTGGTGGACGTAATATGTCTTAACGAAACAACTGCATTAAATGAGCGTGACGTATTCTGACGGAATAGGTCTCTCATAGACGAAGGATTAGGTGAGGATTGATGATCAAGTGCAAGTGTCCTCATCGTAATCATCATAATCGTGACATGATGTGTTTGACGGAGCATGTGTCTTTGGTGGACGTAATATGTCTTAACGAAACAACTGCATTAAATGAGCGTGGCGTATTCTAACGGAGTAGGTCTCTCATAGACGGAGGATTAGGTGAGGATTGATGATCAAGTGCAAGCGTCCTCATCGTAATCATCATAATCGTGACATGATGTGTCTGACGAGGCATGTGTCTTTGGTGGACGTAACGTGCCTTAACGGAGCAACTACATTAAATGAGCGTGGCGTATTCTGACGGAATAGGTCTCTCATAGATGGAGGATTAGGTGAGGATTGATGATCAAGTGCAAGCGTCCTCATCGTAATCATTATAATCGTGACATGATGTGTCTGGCGGGACAGGTGTCTTTGGTGGACGTAATGTGCCTTAACAGAGCAACTACATTAAATGAGCGTGGCATATTCTAATGGAGTAGGTCTCTCATACATGGAGGATTAGGTGAGGACTGATGATCAAGTGCAAGCGTCCTCATCGTAATCACCATGCAACTTTGGTACTGTGGCAGAACACACTGAGCTCTGCCTTGGCACTGTGACAGACCCAAGCTCTGTCCTGCCCTTACACCACTAATACTCGACCCAAAGAGCAATGCCTTAGACACTCTTAAGGAACTCAAATCCTTAATGCAAGAAGTAAGTGACCCTGAACTGCGCGCTAGATATACAGAATGCACCAATTACTACAACAAGGTTATGAATTACCTTACCCAAGCTGAACAAAGTCTGAAGACCGAATTCTTTACTGACGTTGCCAGAGCAGCTTCAAATGCCTTGGAAATGGTTGAGAGTTGTGAGGATCAGTTTGAAGTGCCACCATCTCAACCATCCTCTCTTGAACAGTTGAATAACAAGGAAAGATTTATGTCATACTATCTTCTCCATAGCTGGATCTCCGCCTTCAATTGTTTAGCTAGCTTTTGATTTATCTTTTATCGATTTATCTTCTATATTTATGTGATGACATATATATTTGCTGAATTAGTTAACCATATAAAACCTTTCAAATTCTCTTTTGGACAATGATTGGTATACAGTTCGGTTCAACACATTACGTGACACACTTATTAAAAAATCATTATTTTTTAATCTAAAATTAAAGACAAACAAGTTTAATAATATAATCATGCATACAGAACACAAGAACTGGTTAAATTGATTGTATTTGTATTATATTTTTAATGACTAAAACGAAAATGTATCAAAAAAATATGTTGAAACAAAGATTTACCAATCATTTTCCTTTTCTTTTATATTTTTAATACTTATTTTTCTTGGTCATGATTTAGCCCATTAGAATTGTGTGTGTTTTATTTTTTATTTTTTAAGTAAGAAACCTAAAAAGTTTCATTAACAATTCAACAAAATTATTCTAGAGCCCCTTAATCTAAAAAGATTCAATTAAAAATACAGATAATTTTATTATGAAAAACAAAAAAGTTCATATCCTTGAATTGATAGCCGAAGAAAGTATCCCAACCCATGGCACCTAAAGACTCCAAGCCAACTGTGGCTCTGGGATAATACCCCGCCGGGAAGTCCCGTCATTCTTTGACCCAACCTTCTCACTTTATCCTAAGCCCATTAGGGATCATTAGCTCAATTTCAACAAAATTCTTAAATCCCTACTGCACATTCCATGACTTTCAGTTTGCTATATATTTGCCATTCACCATCCCAAAGTATCCGATTTATGATTTCTTGATCATAAGAGGTGATTTTATATTTTTGGGGTACATCATAAAAGGTAATTATTCTAATGAGATAGTACTAAAAAAAGTAGATGACAAATCATAAACTAATGTTAAATATAATAAAATAAAATCCATTTAATAATAACTGT